ATCTCGTGACCCTGATGTTTCTTTATCCTATAGTGATCTATTGCCGACAACGATTAGTCCTCCTATAAATTGCAAATTTGTTTGTTGTCCGGAAACCTATGCCACAGCCTTCGGTCCACTCGTAGGGCAAAATCGGCCCATCGAAGTCCGTCTGTCCGTGTTGTAATCATCTTTTTGATTTTTCTCTGTTCTTCTCCAGTCCTTTGGTCGATGATGGAAAGCTAACCTGATCATCCTCGATCCTTATTTTTTACTCATACTAGTTGTGGAGATCCACCCAAGTCGTTGCTTGAAACTCAAGAAGGTTTTCTTTCAGTTTCCTAGAAACGTCTGAACTTCTCGGATTCAATCTCTTGGTGAATGCTACAGTTTCACATTCATATGGGACAGCCGGGAGCAACATTCTTTCCTTCTGGAATCAGGTAACGAATTCTCATAGTAACTCAGACTCACCTTGTGCAATCCTGAATATAATCGGCCTTTTGGGCATGTACTTTTCTAGCTCCGGCATGAGCCTTCATGAATGAGTCTACAAGCATTTCAAAGGAATCTATGGAATGCTCGGGTAACAGTGAATACTACGTCAAGGCTCCCCTCGTGAGAGTTTCTCCAAATTTGTTTAGCAACACAGATTCAATTTCGTGAGGAGCTAAATTATTTCCCTTCACTGCCATTGTGTAGGTGGTAATATGCTCCTGAGCGTCTAAAGTTCCATCATACTTTGGCACTTCAGGCATTTTGAACCACTTCAGAAATCATTCTGGTATCACACTTGGCTTGTATGGCAATTGAGTATACTTCCTTGAGTCCGAGACATTCAGTACTAGTGGCACGCCCGACATTTGGTCCATACGGGCATTTACTACCCTCATAAATCGTAAAAGTTCATTTTTGAAAGGATCGTTCTCGTTATTGAGGCCGGATCCGCTCCCTCAGCCCCTATCGGAGCCAACTTCACCCCTGAGTGTGTTGTTGTCGACCCTCTACATTGTTTGGTTAGTGGGAATACAAGGAGGAATTGGATCTCGTCTGTTTGCATTATTTGAAGCCCCCGATAGCACCTGCTTCAACTCCGTCATAACCTTATCATGTTGCATGAGGTGGCCTAAAATGATCGCATGTTGCTCTTGCAAGACCCTTACCATGTCAACGACATGCTCCTCATCAATATCATCCGGAGTTGTCTCCCAAACCTGTCGAGGATGTTTCTTGTCATGCACCGGTATGGCACCATTCCCCTCATTGTGGTTGTCACTGATTGAGTCCTTGAAATGAGGCTGATCTCCTCGAATCTCGAGGTTGTACGTGTTGTTAACAGTGTTATCTTCCATTTCTTATGACTTTTTCTAAGACAAAATAATCAAAACACGCCAGTAAAAAAAGGCAAGGATCAATTTAATTGTACGATTGTCTAGGCTCCACAGTGGATGCCAATCTGTTTACTCGTAAAATGGTACAGTTGAATTTATACGTGATTTCTAGACAAGTGAACTAATTTGATCCTGAAATAATAAAATAATCAAAGAATTATGCAATACTTAGCCTTAAAATATTGACGAAATAATAGGAGCAACAATTCCAGGAACAAGGTTTCCGGGCATAACAATAATGAAATTAAAAAACAAGAAAGTGAGATTATATTAAGCTTTGTATAGAATATAGTATAAGTTTTCCAGAAAATTCGTGTCCTTTACAATGATAACTGAGCTTACTATTTGCAGTTATGTCTAGGAAAGGAGGTCCTAGAATTGTGCCCTTCTTTAATATCAATTATAAGGGCCATTGATGAGGATGTAATGGTAAACATAAATGCCAAATTTCCTGTAACAGGCAATCGCTCTTAATGCCACGGAATATTCTTTATTAAATGCTACAGGACCCAGAGCATTTATCACACATTTATGAACCTTATTCTTTTTCGGTGACAAACAGAACAGTTGTCTTCGGCCTTTGGCCATCCCCCCGTCTTGAATTCCACGTGTCCCTTTTTTGGACGGCCACGTGTCATAGCATTTTTTACCCTAAACTGGATATATGTGCACGTCCGAATAGTCGAGTTATGCGATTGTCGATTAATGTCTTAAAAATCTTTTTGGGACTCGTCCATGACTCACTCCTGGAAAGGCACTTGTTGCGACGACTCATGTGAGAGGCTTACGCCATAAATGTCTAATTGTGCATCTTGAACACGTCTATCCTCAGCATTTGGGAGTTATTACGTAAACAAAATGTTTAATTTTCTAATTAGTAATATTGGCCCTCAAAATAATTTAACAATTGAATGATAAAAGTTATATTCATATATATAAATATGAAGTTTGAGATTAACTAAAATATTTTGTCATAGTATTGCATTTTTACTATTTGAGTGAAAGCATCATGAAGGTAAATATCATTTGAATATTTCTTTTGAAAATGAGTAGCCGAAATTTATATCTTCACTCGTTATTACTCTTTGTTTCTTAGCTTTGTGTCTGCCAAAATTATGAGACTTTTATTCTTTACTTCAATTATACTTATTTATGAAGGAGTAATATTTTAAAAGTATATTACTTATAAAGTTTATTGATTATTTACTTTTTGAGAGGTAATTAAATGTGTAGTTTTTTAATATTTTTTAAAAATATTTAATATTTTAATTATTTGAAAGTTGAGACATTATAGTTGATTTGGGTGATACTCCATATTTTTTTTAATAAGGATATATAGGTCTTTAGCCAAAAAAATAATAATAATATAATAAAAAGATAAGAAAAGGTTAAAAAAAAAGGATTAAAGATAATGGGCCAAACCCATGAGAAAGACTTGATAAAGTCAACAAAAAAAGGGTTTCACCCGCAACCAAGTCCCAAAGAAAGAAACTAAATACACCAACAATTGAATTATCAAATTTGAGAAGATAACGGGATCCACTTTGTACCAGACGTTAAGATTAGAAGGGGGATTAAGGGAAGTATCGGTCTTGCAAATTGTGGAGCAAAATAGAGAAGGAAGAGTTAGGCGGAAGCTTTGGTGCCGCAAGAAACGTTACTTTCAGCCACAAATTGTCTAGATTTCAAGGTGTTTTAATCAATATAATCGTCCGAACCATTGTTAATTCTAAATTCAAGGTATATCTTATTGCTCCTCTGATATGGGTATCTTTAATTTATTATGTTTGAGTTAAATAGTGATATTGATAACTTAGTGAGTTTCAATTGAATTGGATACAAGAAATAGTCATTAACAAGATTAAATTTTTTTATTCCAAGTAATTGGATAATATATAATATTCTGGTAGTTACTTTTGAGGTATTGTGAGTGCTTGCAAAGCACTACGTGAAATAGAATAAATTGCTAATTTTTCAAGCAACTCAAATGCTTCTTTTGCCCATTCCAAATTATATTAGAAATAAGTTTAATGACAAACATGGAAAGAAGAACTAGTTTCCGATCCATTTTAGTACTACTGAAGTGATTAACAAAGAATCAACCTTCATATTCTAGAGGAATGAAACAGGAAAAAATTTATCAAATGCGGCCGGTTTAGATCAGTTACGTTGGTAGTTCACGAAGTTAATATGTAGATTGATTTTATAATGATATAGGTGGTTGAAGAAGTGAACCAAGTGCTAGCAAGTGACCACTACAAATTATAACTTTTCATTATTTTACTGTTCTTTTAAAAGAAGAAGAAGAAAGAAATGATTAACTTGCTAAGGTGTATTCTGAGTTAAATGTCTCTGGAAGTGCTCCCAATAATATATATGCACAAGTTATGCGACCAGATACTCATCGGGTTTGTTCGAATTCTAGGAAAAGGAGCAACTCCAAATTTTATTTATGGCTCTATATATAAACAGTCTCAGGCTGAGTAAAGGGATTTTGATAAAGGGTTGAGGTAGAAGTTCAAAAAACTACGCTATAAGAATTTTGATGGCGTAAAAGTTGTCTGAAGCTACCTTAGCTATATTTAACAAAGTATTTTTCAATATAAAATGAAAAATCTTTGTGGTTTTATATTATTTTTGTATCTTTTATTCTATAATTTGCTAAATATTGAATTTTGTAAACTATAAAAGTAACCAATCTAATATTTCTCCTCAAGTTAACCCAATCAAGAAGACTGAAATGAGTGAAGTAGGCACAACAAAAAAATTGTACATTTGAAAAATTATAAGATACTTTTTCCTCTTTTTCTTTTGCCTTATTTTCTTTCTTTTCTATTTTCAGTTGCTGCTATTATACCCATTATAAGGTATGTTTATTTTTTAGAATCCCAATCTATTATTTTTGGTATCCTAATTTGTTATAACCGAAGAGGAAAGAATTCCATTTATTATATAGTTATAATTTTTTTTCCTGTATGACTTCTTGTGCAACATTTTTGAAGGAGAATTACTGACAATGAAAAGCTTGACTCATGGAGAAATGGTTTCAAAAAGCTTTCTTGCAGGATTTAGTCTAGAAGTTGAGGGAATTCATTCTAAAGTGATTATAAATGTCGTATGTAAAATAAATATTAATAAACGAATTTAAGAAGCTTAATATGACATTTAATAAATGTTGTCGTATCTTCATGTTCTCCGAGTCATGTTCTTCGCACTCGGAGAAACTTTAAACTAAAATAGCCTAATTTTTTAACTAATACACCCTCCGTTTCAAAATACACTCTCCATTTCAAATTAAATAACATATTTTTAAACTATGTGAAAGTTGACCAATATTTTAAAAAATGAGTGTAACTTAGTAATATTTTTCGTATAATTTTTATATATTAAAATTTAATTTTAAAATATTAAGTTAAACTTATCCAATTTAGCTTCAAAGTTTAATTTATTAACTCACGATAATCGAGATGTGCCGTTTTAATAAAACTGAGACAGCATAGCCTAAATTTGGATGTGTATAGAAAATAAGAACTGCTAAATAGGGTACGTACGCTTGGCTCATAACATTAGGAAATCAAAGTTCTTTTATTGGTGATTCATGTAATTAACTCATAATTTAAACACAAGAACTTCCGCAGTACAAGTTCTTAAAACCAGACTCTCAGCCATTTTATTCTCTTATAATACAAGGCCCAACTTAAAACATAGCAAAACACAACATAAGATTCAAACATTACATTACACTTATTTCCATTTTCTAAGCATATTCTTCTCTCCTGCTAGATCTAGACCCTGGTCCAAAAACAGTCAACTCCTCCCTATTATACTTCAAACTCCTAGCTTCTTGCCTAGAAATTTGGTAAGAGTTCATTAACACTTCCTCTGGCATTGCTCTAAGTGCTGATAATCTTCCAGCCAGTGGGTTAACCATTGCATTGTCATTAGTCTTAAAAGCAATGTACTCTAGTCCTTCATTGCCTGCTCTCTTCACTATGGCAAAGTTCTGTGGCACAATTAGTAGCTGATTCTCTCTGACTTCGTCGTCGAATACTGATCGTCCCGCGTTTCCCACCACCTGAATTCGGCCGCTTCCTCTGATGATGTAGATGATAGAGTGGGCGTTCATGTTCCAGTGTGGTGCAACTATTGCATTCTGCAAAGCCAAGCAACATAGAGCTAGTTATCCACATGTTTACATTTCACATGTAGCTAATGATATAAAAAATTTAATTATGCGAAGGAAGGGTCAGTCATCTTTTGAAAAATTCCTCTAAAATTCTGCTCCACCATCCCTGAATTTGTCAAACTTTTCCTTTTTTTCCATATGTCTCTAGAAACTTTGTTTGCATTTGGAAAACTAAAAGGGCAGAGCACCTCTGTGCACAATTAACCCTATGTGGAAAAGCCTTAACCCTAGGGTGTGATGTAAATAAATATTAAATGCTTCTAGCGTGAGCTGTAGGTTACGGGAAACAACTCCAACACTTAATTAAGAGTCACTAATTTGAGTAGTAAGGACATATTTAAAACAATTTAAAGAATTTCTTGTTGTTCCAGAAATCAGTCACGATAACTTTACCATTGCCTATTTGAGTAATAGTAAGGACATATTTAAAACAATTTAAAGAATTTCTTATTGTTCCGGTCATTGGGAAACAACCGTTGCTTATTTGAGCAGTAGTAAATAGTAAGGGCATATTTAAAACAAGTTAAAGAATTTCTTGTTGTTCCAGAATATCAAATATTTTGTTAAAGTAAGGTTGTTAAATGCGACAAAATTATTTTTATATAAGCAAGAAAATTTGGAAAATAGTATACTACTACTACTGCTAGTATATAAATTTGCCTACATATACGTACCCGGTAGAGGGTTCCTCGCTCAGCACTGAGTTGGAGAAAGTTAAGAATAGGAAGACTCAAGCTGTTAACAGTGCTGACGCGTCCTCCACGTGGATTGTACACGTCAGATCTAGAAGGATGACCAATATTCTCCCTGAACTTCATTGTACATATTGTTTCTTCCAACCCATTCAATGGCCATCTTCCTCCTTCTCTTTGTTGTTGTTCCCTTCGTTCTTCTTGTTCAGATTCTTCAGGTAGAGTTAAACGAAGCTCTTCTGCTCTCACAATTACACCTCTCTCTTCGTTCTGTCCTTGAAGTCTCCTTATGGTTTCGACGTCGACGTTGAATGCTTCCGACAAAATCTCAGTGTCGAAACCGTTGAAAATGTTGCCTCCTTTAGATGTTGTCTCTTGTTCTGATCTCCTTTCTTGCATTGTTGTTTCTTGTTGTCTTCCTACGAATTGTTGTTGTACTCCACGCTGTGGGTTTCCAGCTAGGAAGAAGCTCTGCATTGTAGAAATGTGTTTGGACATTAGAATCGTAAAATTCCGGGAAAAATGAAAAAAAAAAATTAAGTGAAAAAGATATTGACTAGAGCTGAGTTTTTCAAATTTCCAAAAAAAAACTCCGAAATTCAAAAAATTTGAAATTTTCATGATTCCGAAAAAATGTAGTGAATTTTTTTTTATGGCCAAACGGGCCCTAAGTTCTATGCAAAAGTACCTATAAGATTATTATAGGTAAAATCTTATGAATATATTAATGGTAACTGATAAATTATTACTCCAACTCCAATTAATCTAATGTTGTTTTTTTTTTGTTGCGGTAAAATTCTGATTTATATATTCACATTAATAATTTTATTTTAAGATAATTAAAATTTACCCTGAAGGTGAGATCAAGTTGATTAGCGTGGTTGGAAGTGTCAAGAAGTGAGACAGTGACAATTGGTTCCTCGGCATCATTGTACATCCAGAAAGTGACTCCCGCCGGCAAAGCAAGAACATCACCAGCTCTGAAACGTCTGAGTTTCTGGTGCCTGTCATTGAAACTCCGGCGTCTTTCTCCGGTTCTGGATTCTCCAGATTCTGTTTCATATGTCTCAGCACATCCCGGTATCACAGTCGAGTGAATACCACGTCCTGCATTTATTAATTCATTCATCAAACAACCCCAAAACTTAATCAGATTGTCACAGCAGATATAAATAAATAAATTTGTCACACTCTACTGCATTGAATACCTCATTTTAAAATCATATGCTCACACACTTTAATATAAGATTCTGACTTCAATTCCCAGGATCATCCATTATAAAAGAACTTTTATAAAACAATTATGTGGTTCATAAAAAAATAAAAAAAGTTAAAATAAAAGGCGTGTTGCAAATAATAAGATTACTTTTAGACAAAATAAATAAACTATAAGCTAACCATCCATTAAAGACAGTTGGATCGATAACCCGAAAAAATAATTTGACTACTAACTACAAGTCTACAACACGTTAATTATCCGTCCACAAAAAGTTAGATCATTAACCCGAAAAATTATTTTAACAACGTATAAATTTCTTTACACTGTCTAATAATAAAGTTGTGAAAAATTATGTTAATAATGTATAAATTATATTTCTTTACAAGTCTAATAGTAAAGTTGTGTACCATGGATCCTCGTGGTCCGAACACTGGTCGGACCTCCCTGAACTCACGCCTTTTTTTCTTCCAATGATATACATTATTTTAATCCAATAAATAAATGTGATCTCTCTTTAATTAATTGCTCAAGCTTATAGATGTGATCGACATAATTCAACAATACCAATCCAACAGTTAAGGAAATAGTTATACCTTGAATAATGTACATGAGCAGAGGAGTGTTGGTATAGTAAGGAAGCAAAAGTCCATTTCGCCTAATTTGATGGCGAACGGCTTGAACTCCGGCGCACTCAAATTGCTCATGTGTAGCATCCCAGAACTCAATAACACCGGCCTCAGACTCGAATCTCCGGGTTGGTTCTTGAGCGTTCAAACGCTCAATTTGGCACTCGGTTTTCGACCTGAGAGCGCGGTGTTGTTGCTGTTGTTGAAGTCTCTGCCATACGTTCTGTTGCTGTTGCTCTAAGAGCTGAGCAAAACAGCAGTGGGAGAGAACGAGGAAGCAAAGGCTGAGAGAGAGGACTGAGGAGTAAGTAGCCATTGTTGTGTTATTAATTGCTGATAGGAAGTGGAGATGAGAAGATTGGGATTTATAGGAAGGGAAAGAAGAGTTAAGGTTTGACACGTACTTGTTTTGCATGGAGGACAGTCTTGCATGTTTTACACATAACACAGAGCATTTTAGGGTATGTGGCTAATGGCTTCTGCAAAAATGGATTCACTTCTTTAATTTTGTGTTTCTATTTGCATGGTTCTTGTACAGTTGTACTCTTCAGCTACTAGCTGGTATAATCCACCAGAGTGATTGTAATACTGTACATGTTATGTGCTCTGTACCTAATGCACGCTAGTGCGCAGCAAAAGGCACTTCGGGGCACTAAACTCCTCCTATGCGTAGGGTTCGAGAATGGTCAAATCACAATAGACCATTTTTGTAAGAGATTGAATCTACGGCTTAAACCCATGAACTCTTCATCACATGGCATTACCTTTATCAGTTACGTCAAGACTCTCCTTCACTGCACACTAGTGCAATATCACAAAAAAAATTATAATTACCCCCACAATAAAGAAAGCAAGGTTAAAAATAAAAATAAAATTCCTTAGCTAGGTTGAACAGATATTTTGGACCAAGACAGCCAAAGGATCGTTGTGATCCTCCGGGCTTCCTCTGTTGCTAGGTAGAAAGAAAGAAGCAAGATACTTTTTTTTGAAGATTAAATTGTACGAAAGAATGAAATTGGAGAGCAAGTAGCTAGACTAGATCGGTTAATTAAAGACTTTGTGATCCCCAACTGGTTTAATTTCTTCTCATTTTACTCGTCGAAATTGAACTCATCAGAAATTTAATTCATTCAATTTTTAGTTAAAGGGAGATGAAATTAGGTACTCCACGAAATTAAATGAGTGGAAAGAACCAATAGTGGAGACCTATATAGCTAGTGGGATCCCTATCTAGCTTCCCGTCATTTCTTCGGTAGACATCTTTGAAAATTATGCACTAAAATGCTTGTTATGATTGAATATTTTTTTGGTGAACATACAAGTACGGATAAAAAATATATAATACCAATTCTTTTTATTTTTTACTAATTTAGCAATGATACTCTAGAGTCTTGTCCAAGATATATACATGAATCTTGATCGAAACAAATTATACATGGATACTCACTAATTCAATTAATCCAAATTGCGCTGCGTAGGGTCCATCTAGAAGAAAAACACTCTACTGAGATTTCTCCATTTTTTGTGCAAAACTCTAGACCAACAACACTTAATTCGATCCCTTCAACATTAGTCTCAAATGTATATACAAAATATAATGTCACCAAAGGTTGTTTGGTCCAAAAGTTTACTGGCTAAAGCAGTAAGGATTTATGGCCAAATTTGTGGAACAAGACTAATCCAATTAGGACTATTGGGCCAGGACCTAATTTAAGAGAAAACTCAAGGATTAAACAACCGAATAGATTATCGGGGAGTTATATTTGGGATCCAGGGGATATGCAGGGGAATACTGTTGAGAAAAATGTCTGAATCCTCTCCTCACCAATTCTGAGTCTAGCTTCTCATCCCCTTCTTTGGTTCTATTCTATCTTACTTAGCTTCTGTATTTTGTATTTCCATTACTATTGTTCTTCTTCGTTGAGTTGTAATTGTTAGATACTATCATCAATACAATTTGTAGTTTGGAGTTGTTACATTGGTGCTTTCATTGAGAGGTCTTCAATGGAGGACTAAATAATTCGAATTATCGATGATTCAATTAAGGTCATGAAGGATTCATGGTCTAAAGATTTGGCTGAAATTCGTTCACTGTTACAGGAGTTGGTTGGAAACCTTGCAACAACTAAGCCCACTCCGGTGGAATTCCGACAATTCTGCGGCGAGAATCCATAGTTCTGGATTTCTCAAGCTGGACGATACTTTGCATTCTATGGAATTTCAGAAAACAACAAGTTACTTTTCGCCTCGTCCTATCTCGACGGAGAAGCTTTAGACTGGTACCGATGGCTCTTCCGGAACAAGCAGCTGGTGGATTGGGAACATTTTATTGCGAAGGACGATTGTAGTAATGTTATGAATGACCCAGTATCGAATACTGGTAATAATATCAGCAAACGAACGTTCTCCTGTGCTTCCAGACATGCTGAGCTCCACTTATTCTTGTATAGTCAAAGAGGATCGATTCCATAAAAGATGAGATCGGTAAATGACAATTTACTGAAATTGCATCTTTGTGAAATCGTCAATATTGTACCGAGGGCGTCTTGAGAGTATACCGAATCAGTATAGCTATCCTTCTTCTGACACAGCAAGGCAATTTGAATTAGTATCAAAAGTAAGTACTAAATAATTTCTTTTTTCCTTTACTTGTTGATGTAAAATCATCTTCCATTCAATAGAAAATTCTTTCAGTTTGCCCAAGCTAACCATCTCGACTGATCAATCGGAATGAAACCGATTAATATGGAACTACTAAAGATGGAATAAATTCAAGGAACGAAGTTGTGAGAAAGTCCCGTGACATCCAAGTTTTATTGTCGAAATGAAAGATTGAGCAGCTGCTGAAGATGGAGTTGCAGAGGGTAGTTCTGGTAAGAGAGAGAAAGTTTGATTGATAAGGGCATTCTGTGAATGGAGGAATTGGCACAAATCTGATCTGAAGTAATGTGTTGTCGCGAATCGGCTGAAAGAGTTTCAATAGGCCAGGTTCACCGAGGTCTCTTTTTTACTTTTGGTGGTAACAACAGAGTGATCCTCTAAGGTTTACGTCCTAGCAACTAGGAAAAGGAGTAAGCATACATATCGAAAAGCAAAGATGTCACCTCTCGTTATTTATTTACTTTGAGAGAACTCAGTCCTTGGCTTATGGCAGGAAAACCGGTAGTTAAAGAAGTGTTGGTATGCCCTTCATTAAGAACTCAAACTTCTGAACCCTTTTTTGTTCTTTGGTTGAGAATACAGAATATTCTCATGAACCGAAGGAAAGGGCGGAGATTCACTAATAACTTTGAAGCTCCGGCAAACAACTACTGTGTCTGAGTACCAGAGTCGTTTTGAGGCTATTTTATTAGGCTTTGGCGAGTCAGAACAATCTTACTACAGAGGCAAAACGGAAGTGTGCAAGGTGTTCGATGAAATGTTTGAAAAGGAGATCGATTGTAAGCATAGCATGGATGTTGGCAATACCAACGACCAAGTATTCAACATGAGTTCTCTTTCAAACGTAACTACCTTACTCCCTATAACATCAATGGAGTCTGCCTTCAAGGATGGAAAGTCCGATAGTCAATCTTGCCATGATGTTGCACCAGGTCAACAATTAAATGAAGAAGTTATGAATGCTCTTTATCCTAATGAAACTATCTTTGAAAATAATGAGAAAAATGATGATTTAGATGAAACGCAACCGGATTTAGATGATACACCTACTAGTCCTATTAATAACTCAAATGATGCCCCGCCTGACCCTCTTGTAGTAACCCCTACTTTTAATAGACAACCTGCTAAACGGCCTGAAACATCTGTTGTTTGACATTTTTTTACTCAACTAAGAGAACAAAATAAGGCCAAGTGTAATACTTGTGGGTCTCAACTAGTTCATAAATTTACTGGAGACCGTAGCGGTACGGGTGGTTTGACTAGACACATAAAGACACACCCTAGAGATAAAGCTAGATTTTTACAAATGAAAGTTGCGCAAGAGGGGACAAGTGTACTACGGTTAACCCTAGTACAGGTTCAAATCTAGTTCAACCGGGAATTAACACTGTTACCGATGGCATTTTATATTATGATCCAAATAAAGATCGTGAAGAATTGGCAAAAATGGTTAATGTTATGTGCTTACCCTATAGTTTTCCTTCTAACCCTCATTTTGTGCATTATATTAGAAGAGTTTTTAATCCTACTTATAAAGGATGGCCTCGCGCAACCGTAAAGAGCGATATTTATAAATATAAACATGAATATGAACAATATTTGCGCTATTTATTTACTCATATAGATTGTCGCATTGCTATTACTACTGATATTGGTAGAAGTGGTAATGACTGTGATTATCTAACTGTTACAAGTCATTGGATAGATGAGGAGTGGATAATGCAAAAGCGCATTATTGCTTATAGAATAATTAATTCACGCCACACAGGTAAGTTTATTGCTAACACAGTTGCAGATATTTGTAGATATTTTTGCATTAGAGATAAAATTATGTATGTTTCAATGGATAATGCTTCTAGGNTTGGCCTTAGAGAAAGAAAGGTTCCTAAAGCTTGTCCAACTAGATGGAATTACATGTATGAAAGATTAGTTGTTGCATATGAATATTGGAACCCAATAAGTGCAATGTATAATGCTCGTGTAGGTGATGGTGATGATGATGATGATGATGATGAGCACCTTACAAATCAAGATTGGAGTAATGTTAAAATGCTTGTAGACTTTTTAGAACATTTTCATATTGCTACAAATGAATTATCTGGCCAATATGATCCTACTATTTCTAACTGTTTAGTTTATATTGCAGCACTTATAGATATATTTACTCAATTTTCAGAGGGTAGAGTAATTTATCAAGAAGCTATTAATTCTATGGAAGCTAAGTTTAAAAAATATTTTTTCCGTATCCCCCTATTTTTGGTGTTGCTGCATTGTTAAATCCTACAATGAAATTAGGAGGTCCTCACTTTTGGTATTCAAAAATTTATAACGCTTTATCACTTTCAGCTGAGGAATTTGCTACACTTGGAGATGCAAAA